GTCGGCGCAACAAAAATAATTTTAAAAAAAAATAATTGAGGCTCTCCTTTGTGCTTTCCTTTGGGCCTATCTTCCTATCTCATTAGCTCGAAAAACAGAAATACTACTTCATTAGCACCCAAAATATAAACAAAAGAAACCTAAACCTATATATAAATAAAAATAATTAATTTCACCCATTAAAAAAATTTATTAAATGTTTTCAATTTTTATAATTTTATATAAAATATATGCTACATTTTCTAAAATATTCTTAACTATATTTGATAATGCTTTCATTTATTACTATAGAAGTACTTTTGAATTAAAAACATTAAATAAGATTAATATGATTAAAATTTGTTTATATTTCAGTCCAAAAATTTTATACATTTTTTACTTATATATAAGTCCAGAGGGAGTACCACATAAGGAACTAAGAACTAAAGTGAAATGGATTTAAATTTGTTAAATTGAAGTTCACTATTACGATAAAATCAACATGATTGCCTTGTTATAATTCTATCGAATTAAGATTCCTAAACTGCTGCTTCTTGTATTGAATCAACTATAACATATGTAATAAATGGATTATTATATATATGGATGGTATATGAAATCACATGCTGCATTATGCGAAATGAATCGCCTTAATCAGAAAACTATTTTTCTTGTGAAGCCTATAAAGTGAAGCCATTGATACACTTAGAACAAAGTGAAAACCATATAACTGGAAAAGAAGGAGCAACACTAATAAAAAGAATAAGAAGCATATAGTATACCATGTATGTAATTCAATGGAAGAAATTCTCTCAAATATCTCCACTGCTACGTTGCTATACCCTCTTCTCCAAAAGATATACAATTCAACTAAAAACAAAAAGGTTACTTGATAACTACTCATAACTCATTCCTTTCCACTTTCCAATATTATCCCACCACCTTGCCAAAACCATAAGGGAAAAAAAGGTAAAGAAGAAACTTAAATGCCTCCACATAAGTATATGTATTAGCCTGAGGAGAAATTCTCAAATAATTATTTTTTTGGCTGCCGGTCAGAATAGGATCTAGCAGGTCTGAGAACATTTACAGGTTGTGGAGTCCTCAAAAGCATGGTTTGAGAACGAGTAACCATGTCTGCCATGGAAGGTGTTCTGTATGCATTCACAAAACTGGTGCTGTCTGAATAATCTCCTCTTGCAGTTGCCCTTTGCCCTGAATGAGCACACAATCCTGAGAGAACATAAGCCCTTCCAGACTGTTCATAAACACGTTGGTTCGCCATCCTTTCCTGCATCTCCTTCAGTTCAGCAGAGAGAGCAATGCATAGTTCATCACCAGCTTTGGCAGATATAGTTTCATTCAATGCCTGGTGACATCTCTCTAGCACAGAAACTGCACCAGTCAAATCTCCGCGTTCGGCTTTAGCTCTAGCCTCGGCCATTGCCTCAGCAGCCTCAAGTCTGTTTCTCTGCTTGTCTACTTCTATTGACACAACTACATCTCTAGCTACATCAGGTCTCTCAATCTTTACTTCACTATTTACTCCCAATGCCACCATTTCCTTTGTGACAGGGTCCCTATAAACACCTTTAACTATCAACAAAGACATCTCAGAACTGGACTTATCAACTGGCACATTCACTGTCACCAAAAAGTCTCTTTCTTCTTCAGCATATAGATCTCCCACCCTGATAGATGCCATTTTTCCACTGTCAATCAAGCTAGTTTGGTAACTTCCTGCTTTTACAGAACCAAGATGCAGATGGGGATGAACACACTGGACTTCTAGTTGTAATTCCTGAACCACCACACTCAATAGTCCTCCAATGCACTGTGCAAATGCATCCTGGATCACATCCTCAGCTTCAATGAAAGAAAAAGTACCCCCAGATATCTCAGAGATTGAGTGCATTGCAGAAGCATCATGGTCAACACCAAAGCCAAATGCATGCACTGGTATATGCAAACCATCACCATTGTCACGATGAATGGAATTTGGGACAAGTGACCGGTAATCATTTCCAAAACTAGGCCTGCTACTGTTTATGGATGAATCCTGTCCATCTGATAGTAATATGATACTGCCAACTGGGTTCTTCCACCTGCGATCAACAAACACTTTGGCACCTTTCTTTAATCCTTCAGCAATGTTTGTAACACCATTTGGAATCAAAGAATTAACTGCCTGCAGTGCATCCTGTTTTCCAGCATCAGTCATCCTCCGAAGAGGAAAGATGCGGCGCGCTGTGGAAGAGAAGGTGATGACAGAAAGCCGGTCTGATGAACTCAGATTCTGTATGACAAAACCCATGGCTCGTTTTAGTAGTGCAATCTTTGTACCTGACATGCTACCGCTCACATCAAGAACCGTGACAAGATCAATTGGAGCACGAGAATTTTGAGCTGATGGTGATTCATTATTGTTTCTGTCACTATTTTGTTTTCTCCGGGGGGCTTTGAGATGAATCAATACAGCAAAGTTATCATGAGAGGCTGACTTTGGAACAGCTGAAACTTCAGGATATATTCTGATCTCCATTTTGTTTATTGCATTGCGCTCAGCCTCGTTCATGTCATCAGTAACTGAAATTTGTTGTTCCAAGACTTCTTCATCATCATCAAAGATAGCTGGTTCAGTAACATTATTATGAGATGATGCATTTTGTGGACCTGTACCAACATGTTGGGGAGGAATCCTCCCTAGGACAGTTGTCCAGGAATCGTTTCGCGGCGAGTTTATTCGGTTGATGTCATGGGAAACCTTAGAAACACGACTCTGGAAAGGAACCTCCTTCCATTTTGCTCTGCAGACGGGGCAAATCCGGTTCCCGTGCTTCACATTAGATGTGATGCATTGGAAATGGAAAGA